GAAACCTGGCTAAGAGTTAATAATCTTTATTTAATAATAATTGTCCGTGGTTGCTCATACACCTACAAGTCCTTTGGATCTTGAAGGCTTGGGACACAGTCAATGCCTACTTGAGGGAGAAATTCCTGAAGTTCATTCAGTCCTGATCAGCATGACTCAAGGGAGGCAGCTGCCTTCTAAAAGGGCATGTCCTGTGTTTCAAGGATTCTCAGTAGCTCCCAGCCCAAGGGATTGCCTACAACACATTGGGCTGAACTATTTTGGTACCTGGCGAGCGTCTCTGGGTGTGTCATGGTGGTTGTGTGGCTCTAGCCAGCAGTCTGCAAGAGGAACAGAGAGGGAAGTGTTCAGATCATGCAGAGTTTCAGCCCTGGAGGCATTGCATGGAGCTGCTAATGCTTACAAAGTGCCTGGGTAAAAGGGTGTAACCGAGTGAGCTGTGGCTAGAGGAAGAGTTATTAATTGCAACCGTAGGTGGCTGATAGTCTTCCTCAGCCTCAGGTGAGCTTGGTGTCCTCAGGTATGCAGAGCTCTGGCAGGGCATGTGTGAAGAGCCATGAACCAAAGCAAGCTGATGATAGGAAAATTCCCTTGGCTGTGGGTTGATGGAACTGGTCAGCATACATACTTACATATTAGTATGTGCTAAATCTCAGCCTATTGCTGAAGTGTTCGTGGGCTCCCTGAAGTTGTCTGCTTTGGAGAGCTGCAGCAGAGGAGGAGGGAGCTGGTAGTTCCCACACAGACCCTGCTGTAGCTTTTTCTGGAGGTTTCATAACAGAATTAAGCAATTTGTGTTGCATGTTGCCATGGAGACCATAAATCACTGTCGTGCTGGGCTTCTCAGTCAGGGAGCCAGCATCTTTAATTGCACTAACCTCCCCTGCAAATCCAGGGCTTGGTTCTGAGCTTGTTGACCTTCTCTAATGGCTTTGCCCTGAGAGCTCTTCCTCCAGGACAGCACAGCTGGAACCAGGGAGAGGGGTGCCAACACACAGAATATCAACTATCTGGGGTCCATTTTATTATTGTCATATGTGGCCACAACTCTGCTCTGATGAACAGAAATTGCAGTGATTTACAGAAGCTGAGATCTGACCCACTTGTATTCAAGGCAAGTTTTGCAAGGAGAATAGGGATTAGATATACTGTATATATTTTGTGGGTACCTATTTGGGCTTGGTGGTCCAGTCACAAACTAATCTGAATTTGGGTTTTTTATGTTACTTGGCTGCTCCAAGGGGATAGCTCAGCCCTTCCACTCCATCCCCATGCCCAGACAGGTAAATGGGGTTTTATGCAGTTTATTCTGTCTCCATAAAAATATCATTTTTGCTGAGGAGGCTCAGCCTCAGTGATACTCTTGGATCAGTGTTTCTCTTTTTGCCTTGCCATCTACCCCAGAAGTAGCCACATTTCTGACTGTCTCAGCATTACTGGCTTGTGCTGTCAAGACACTGATCTTGCCAGTGGGTATGAAGATGGTTGTATAAATCAGCCTCCTTCCAGTGACTTACCCAGAGCCCTGATGGCATTTGTCAGCGTAGGGTATGGATCCTTCTCTTGGCTCCTTCAAAATAAACAACTATCTAAATTGTATGATTATCATCAGAGCTTATTAGCGTATTACCACATGCTGCTTTGTATTCAGACAATAGATAAAAACATTTGTGTTTCGTTTTTCCCAGTCAGATCTACAGCAAACACGCTTATTCTTGCTCCCATCTGAGGAGGACTGTGTCAGTACTCTTGCCAAAAACAGATGAAAATCAGCCTAAGTCTTGTGCAGTTGCCTGTAGTGACATAACCAGCTGGTGCAGAAGCTCCGCGCACCTTTGGGAGTGCTTAGTGTTTTTCAGGAGGTGATACCTGTTGTTTTAAAGGTTTGATTCACTGGCTGGTTAAGATGATGATCTTGTCAAGGCATGAGTTGGCTTCTTGCCTTGCTTATCAGGGCAGGTGGAGGGGTAGAGGGACTGAAGTACTTGGTTTTCAGAGGGTTTTCGTTATGTACATGCATGATGGGAGCATGGGACTTGCTATCTCTGTAGAAAGAGGGGGCTTTCCACGACCAGTAGAAACAATCCTGCAGAAACATCTAGACTTGCTACCTTTTGACACTCAATGGAAGTTTTCGTCTATTCATGCTAGCATCACCTAAAATACAGGGGGTTGTGCTCAACAAATCAGACTGCACTTCTTGACTTTTTTGTTTAATTTTTTTTTTTTAATTTCAGTTCCTACTGTTCTCCCCAGACTACATAATACTTAGTCTGGTAGCTGAGACACACAGTATGACCAAACTTCTGGAAATGATGGGAAGCAAATGCCCTGATTCAACCGATAAGTGTGTGGGGCAGAGACATAGTTTGTACAATGGGCTAAACATTATTCTAGGACTTTGGGGAGCATTTCATGCAAGATAAGCTTAAGGCTTCTTAGGAGCGATTCAAAGGGGCTGGTACAAAATGTCAATGAAAATGTAATGCTTGTCTGCCGAGCAACAGCTTGTGGTTTTGTCATGGGGTCAAAAATCGTGTACAAATGGAATATGTTTTTCACATCCCGAGATTGTCCCCACCATGTCAGTAACAATCAGTCTTTCATACTCCCTGGGCAGGGGAGGATGGGGTGAAACCTTGGCCATGGGCAAAGCAAAAATTGTCGTCAAATGTCTTGGAAGGGGGGACAGAGTTTCAGCCAGGGTCTGTGTCCCAAAGAGCCTGTGAGAATCATCTGACCCAAGCAGGATTATGCAGAAATAAAAGCTGGTCCTCCAACAAAAATGAGACAGTTGAAATTCATAGGTTTTTCTGCAGCCAAGCCTGCTGCATATTGATGTGTGGTCTTGTAAATATGAGAAAGTTTCTTATTCAAAAATAGGAGTAAGAAACTTTTCTTTGGAATTGTAGTGAAGAACTGCAGTAAGACTGAAACCTCAGCTGGTGCTTGGCCTCCTTCTCCCCATCCAGCAGCTGTTGCTCCAAAGGTAGTTTAGAAACAAGCAGATTTGATCATGCTTCTTCTTGCTCTGAAAATGTTGGCTTGTCTCAGCTTGGACAAGAGGCCTTTGCAGTTCTCAGGCTCAGCAATCTCATCCTCTGTTTCCTCCTTATGGGCTTTTCTTTTTGGAGGAGAAACTAAGCCCTCTCTCAAGGTATGGGGGTTTCAGTGTACAGAAAGAACATGGGACCCCCAAGCTTGCCAACTCAAAAGTGCCTTTTATGGTTCAATATTTTGGATTAAACTCAAATAATGATTTTTGAGAAAGGGACTAGAGAAACCAGAAACTAAACTTGGATTAGGAGATTATGTTCTTGTCTGTTTGAAAAGTAGTCCAAGTTGGCTTTGAGACCTCTTCAGAAGTGAAGAGTCAAAGTGGGTTTTTTTTGGAAAATAGAGAAAATGAAAGAATTTTGGGAAGAATGGGGGTCCAGTTTATACTATAGGCTGAAAAAAATCACATTAGTCAGCATTCAACTTGCACTGTGTGTGTGGCAGTCTCAGCTTCTGTACAACACCTGGCACAGCTGTGGCACTGAGCACACCAGCCTTGCTTAGTGGTTTCTGAGAATGGAAATGTTGAAGTTGTCTTCCTAATGAACAAGAAAACCCTAGAGTTATTGGGAAGGCCTCCAAAAGCTTGTGTGGGGTGGTAGGGATATAGATTGGGAGCCAACAGTATGGAGGTTCCCTCTGAGCAGTCCTCATCCCCCCTCAATGCTGACCCCAACCAGCACCTGCAGCCCGAAGGGCACCAGCAAAACCAGAATGGATGGGAGCAGGTGGCTGTAGAAATTGTCACCACAGCTGCTCCTGCTCTGAATAGCTTTTTTCGGGAAAACCAGTACCAAGGAAATCAGCTGCCTTCTCTTGAGCCTTATCATTACAATGGATTTTTTTATTATTATTATTATATTCTTTTTAACTGTGTGAAAGACCTCCCAGAAAATGCAGTGGTCATTCAGATCTGGGAGATGGCCACCCATTTCCTTTGTGATTTGAGTGATCACTGCTTCCCACGGGTGGGTGGAGGTCACTGCCCTCCACAGCATGTGTGCAGAACCTCCTGCCTGGCTTCTACTTAAATGAGCAGTCACTGCTGCTGAGTGTTGGAAAGGGCTGTTCAGCAATGGCTGCCTCTTCTCTTTTCTCCACACACACGTGCCATTGCCCAGTTACAGCCAGTGAATTTTTTTCTTCTTTCTTTTGGGTCAGTTCTGAGGTGAGAGGAGCGGTGTGACCATGCTGCAGGGAGGCTGCTTTCCTGCCTGTTTCACAGCCACAGACACCAGCTTTCCTGCCATGGCAGGGTGGAGGTTTTTTGTTTTTTTTTTAAAAAAAGGGGCAAACCAAAAACCACCTATCATTCCTGGCTGCTGCCTTCTCATTTTTATTTCTCAAACTTGAAAATGAGGGGGAAGAAAATAGCTAAGTGCATTTTTGTCTACTGGTGGAACCAGGATGGGACCTTTAACTCTGGTTTCATCCATCACTGCCAGTTCTGCCTGCAGATCTGGCCCCAGGATGTAACACACTATCTAATGTTTCCTGTACCTTGGGTTAAGCAGTGAAGAATAGCACAGCTCTGTCTTACCAATGAGATTTGGTCACTGGCAATGGGAAACTATCTGGAGATTGACAGCTGCAGTCAGCCAGGGTGATTTTTGTCATGGTCGTGTGGATCCAGCCCCTATAGGAAAGGTATTCAGTAAGTTTTCAGTCATAAGTTTTGCATGTGCATTTGGTGGCAATTAGCAATCCTTGTAGACAAGTCAGGAGTAAACAAGCCACAGCAGTGGAGTTGTCTGCACTTCTAAGTGCTGGGTTTGAGTTGGGGTAGAACTCTTGGGAAGGGTCAGTGCTGCAGCTCCTGTCTAAAACGATTTTGGATGTAAGGGCTGCCTTTATTCTTACTTCTTAGGCAGCAGGTAAAAGCTGCCTTATGCATATTGCCCTGTTTTCATTGCTGACGAGTGATTGGAGATGATCTCTTTCTCCAGGTTTAGCACACTGGAAGCATGGCTACAAGTGCTGTTCCCAGCGAAAACCTCCCCACATACAAGCTGGTGGTTGTTGGAGATGGTGGTGTGGGGAAGAGTGCTCTCACCATTCAGTTTTTCCAGAAGATTTTCGTGCCAGACTATGACCCAACTATTGAAGACTCCTACCTGAAGCACACAGAAATAGATGGGCAGTGGGCAATTCTTGATGGTAAGCAAGCTACTCTTGTACTTTTCATTCTAGCTGAGCATAAGTGCAAATAGACCTCCCACAGCATGTTGTGTTCTTGTGTCCCTCCTGCTCTGCTGTGGGTTGGCAAATTTGAGCACAGGCTGGCCTGTGAGCTGTGGTGCATGGTCTGCAGCTGGTCTCCAGAAAAGCTTCTGCTTCCAGTTGTGTTGTTTCCAGTTCTGCACAGAAATGTTTCTTGCAAGACTGTAAAAACATACAGATAATCATTGACATTTAGAGCAGGCTTCTACAAAGAGTGAATTATAACACTGCCAGGTGGCTATAGCTAATGATACTTCATTGTGGTTGAGCTCATCCCCTGGGAAATAACAGTGAGTGGGTAACTGAGTGAGGGTTATAACCAGAAAGAACATTTAATCAAAACTATTGTCCACTGACAGTGAAGAATTGTTACACCTCTTAACTCCCATCATTCATGTGTGATGTTTTCATATCTAATTACCTGTTTCATTTAAATACTGGTAGGGAACCAGCCTAGAGATCTGTTGTAAGCAAGAGTTTTCAGTTCTTTGAAGAAAAACTGCTTTTTTGTTTGTTTTTTCTAACAAAACAAACAGCAATGAAACACGAAACACAAACAAACAAACTGGAACAAAAAAACCTGCCACACTCTTAAAAAAACCAAAACTAAAGTTTCTTGATTAGCAGATGAGGAGAAAGCCCTATATTACCTAAAGCTGCAACTTGTTTGTTTGTGCTGCATGAGTCAGACTAAACACAGCTATAAGGGGAATTTCTCTGTTAAATGTTGTAAATTTTGTTTTGCTTTATACAAGAATTAGGTAGTACATAAAAACAAGCAAATATTTTGTGCCTTAATTACGAAAGTGCATGGATGTGGCCATTAACATAACTGAACTAAATTTAGCCTCACTTGTGCCAAGTTCCTACCTCCACCCTGTTGTCAAGAAGGTGCTCAAGATCTTAGGTGTCTCTGCATATGTGTCGTTGCTGTGTGGAACAGAAAGCTGGGAGATTGTCATGAGTGGTGGAATGTGGATGCCGGTGGGATTTGCTGTGAAGACTGTTGGCTTGGTCTGGAAACTTGAGATCTTAGCCACACTTTTAAGGATTTATCAGATACAAGTGAGTACAAATGGCTGCAAAGTCCTTACAAGAACAGCCTTTACTCAGTATTAAAAACCAAAATCAACAAACAACCAAACAACGTAATTTTGCCAACACTTGTTCATTTGAATATGTTAATAGTTGATGTGAGGGAGTATTTGTGAAATTGGTGCTGAAATGTGTCTGTCATTGTCATCTGCATCAGCGATACCTGCTCCGAAGTAACCATCACATAATCTACAGGTGTACCTTTATTTTTAAAATGCTAGTGCTGTATAAAAGAAAAATCAAATCCTTCTGTAAATTAAATCCATTGGTTTTAGTCCAGAATCCAGCCCTCTAAAATGGGGAACCTTTACCTCTGCTGGTATGCCCCGTGTTCTGGTATAACAGTACCAGCTGCTGTACACATTGGCATTGGCTGAAACAGTCTTGGCTTTGTAAATTATTTAAAAGTAGAAAAGGCATCTTTCACTGAATATTTGGAATTTTTGTTTAAACAAAAAAAAAACCCCAAAACACAAATCTGACCTGGGTGGGAGTGGAGAAAGAAATTGTTTTTCAACAAGCAGAAACTTACCCTTTCTTTTAATGAAAAAGCCTTTCTTTTACTCAGATGGAGTTCAGTGGCTGTACTCAGCCTGAACTGAATTCAGCCATGGCCTTGAGTGGCATGCTGGGAATCCCTGACTTTCAGAGTTAGTGTGCCCACAGATGCCTCGTAGCCAGAGAAGAGAAACTGCAGCTTCTCCTTCTCTTTCCTACCACTTGAGATTCTGAACAATCAAAATTTGGTAAGAAGGCAATATTCTCACTTTGAAAAGCATATGAACCTTTACTCTCAGCTCAGTAGACACAGGGCATAAAGACTGACTATCACACATGTCTTCTGCCACAGTTCTCTGTCATAAGATTTGGATCTAGGCTATTCTCAGAGGTCACCATCTACTAGGACAGCTGCTCTTGTTGTGGTTACATGAATCACTCATGGTATAAAATTAGGGACAAACATGATAGGAAGGGTAAAGATGCATCATGGTGAATTCTAGACTTTCCAGTTGTCCTTTATGACCAAATCCTTTACAAGCTGATGTTTCATGCAGTGCTTGGTAGGGAGAAACAGCTGCCCACCCCCAAAATAGGTTTTAGAACATGAGACTACCAAATGAGGATATAACATGAGGGGATGCATAAGTTTCTAAGTTTTCAAATGAAAAGAGTTATCATTAAAAAAAAGCAAAATACATTGACATCCAACAACTTTAAAAAAATCAAAAAAAAAAAAAAAAAGGAAAACAGCCCACCCTTTTCCAGGCTGTTGGCTGAGCACTTCTGTACAAAGCAACTTGAGCATTTTATAACTGTACCAGCATTATGTTGTAAAAAACCCTTCTGCTAGCCAGCTTGCATAAAGCATTTGGCTTCTCTCCATTAAGACCTCCACCCACATTTATTCAATAGCAGTAACTGGCAGTGTGATGAAATGTTTGACTAGCATTTCTTTCCTTTGCTGAAATCTCTCACTGAAAGTAGGCTGAAATGAAATAGGCTTTTATTTCAGATTTTAGATCTTGGAGCCAAACCTACATTCAAACTCCTATTTTACATGTTTGCTTTCTGGTTTGGGAATGTCTCTGTACCTATTTTTCTCACCAAAGAAGAGTCTGTGATAGTTCCCTGCCTCCCAGATGATTGTGGGACCTGTGCTTGTTGTAGTCAGGTCCAGCACTATGTGAAAACACTTTATTGTTGACCTTATGCCAGCTTTAGAAGACCGTCAATGCAGTATTTGGAGGACAAGTGCTGTAGAGTGGAAGAAGGCACTTAACCCAAATCAGAGATGCACAGGCAATTGGTGACTCGCCCATTTTTTGCTTGCTGCCACTCTAACAAACTTTAAGAGCAGCCTCCATTTTTCTCAGCATATGTTATCTCTCTCTATTTATTCCCTGCTGGTCACACTGATATCAGCACGGTGATGTGCTCAGTGAAATGCATCCGCACGCAGGTGTGTACAGACACATCAGGTCAGAATTAAGTGGGGGCCAGGGCTAATCTGCTTTGCTTAGCTTTTACTCCAGTTGAGTTGTGATGATTAATTTTGTACGTTCCTTTCTGTGCGCAGGCTAACTTAGCAAGTAGCAGAGGATTCCTTGTGGTGTGCCTGCAAACTGCCAGTCTGGAATTATTAATCTGGGAGTGAAGCCAAAAGTGGAATACCTTAATATGGCAAAAAATACCCAATGGTTCAAAATTCCTTTTGGCTCATAAACCACACAGAGGGAGATGAAGAGAAGACCACAAGTACATGGTTTGGGCATGTTGGTGAATTGAGCTGAACGCTTGGCTGTCAGTAGGGCTGTGCCAACTGATACCAGCAAATCAAGGAATTGTGCCTGTGTGTTGGGTGAAAGGAGGCTGTGGTCTCCCTCCTCTTCCCTTTCCTTCCTCTGGTATGATTTAGATGAAACTTTCACTGCCTAGAAGTTGTCTTCCTACTCCTGAGCTTCAGTTTTTCCTTTTATATCTCCTCTTCCCAAGACCCCCTTTAAATCCCTGAGTACCCTTGTGCTGGGCTAGACCTGCACAGCCCTGGTCTGCACCCCTGTGCAGTCACACCAAGCTCTGTTCCTTCCCCCAAGCTCTCTCTCTGCCCTTCCCACCTGTGTATCCTATGCATCCCTTTTTGTCGAGGAGTTTTGCTGCTAATCATCCCTGGGCAGGCTGCTGCTTGTCTGCTTTTCTCCTCAGGAAACTTGGGAATAAGTCAGCCAGGAGGCCAGAGGGAGATCAAAGGTCACTTCAGGCTTTCAGGCAGAAGGGTTGGTTTGTGGCTCACTCTCTTTTGTTTTTATTTAAACTTTCAGTAGCATCATTGAGAGCCTTAAAATTCAAATTAAATTTGTACTTTCATTCTTTTATTTGTGTGTACAGTATTTCCCCTCCCTTAATTGCTAGGATTTTGCAACCTTGAAAGAGGGGTTTTTGTCTTGGGTTGTGGGGAGTTTTTCCTGCCAGGAAAATTTTGATGTTGCAACATGGAAAACACAAGGCTTTGAATATTTGCCCTTTGTTAGAGAAAGAACTCCTTTAAAGGCTTGCATCTTTATTCTGTTTATTGATGTGCAAGTCTTTCTTCTAAAGGCCTCCTCTTCTTTTTCCTTAAAAAAAGGACAAGGACTCAAGTACTTGGGTTTTCCATGTTATAACATCTGTGTATTTAGTTAAGGCACAGAAGAAGAGCTCATAAAAGCCTGAGTGTTTCCCCATCATGGGTTTTCTGCTGAGGAAAGCTGTCATGCCAGAGACAGTGTGGCTGTATCTGAGAAGGAGCAGAAGCATCAGAGTGACAAAGTGAAGAATCTGCCTTGCCTTGTGCACAACAAGGGCTCCTCATACCTCTTCAGGGTGTCTGGGGGTGTCGGAATACAGAATATGAGCTGAGTGACCCCAGTACTCTGTCTGCACAGTGCCCAGAATACCAACTCCTCAGCTGAAGCCATTGGCTGATGGGGATGCCCTCTTGCTGCTGATGGAAGGAAGACAGAGACTGTGGACGTGGCTTTCTTCAGCCTGAGACTCTTTAGTTTGACTTGTCAATTCAAGTCAAGTTTTCACTTGAGCTTAGGTTCAAAGCTGCAGGGCAGTGAAACCCAAAGGCTGAAGGACAGAAAATGGGTTAATCTGCCTGTCTCTTCGTCTTTGTCCCCTTAGATGCCATGGGCAGTGAAGAAACTCTCTTGAGGTGACCTACACACCCAGCTGCCTAGCAATGTAAAGATAAAGACGTAGGAGGAAATTTTGCCGAGGTATGAAAAGAGTAAGGAACTCACCTGCACAACTAGATCTGAGCTCCCTGAAGGCTGGGAAGGCTGTAATTGAATCTGAACTGAAACCAGCCTAGGCTCCAGAAAAAGCAATGCCATGAGTTCATAGTATGTCTCTGCCCTTGGTTTAGATTTACATTCCTTTGTCTCTGGACAAGCACTCAGAGCACTGTCGGTTGCAGAGACACTGGCACGTAATATACCTTGAAGCACCAAGAGCTTCTATTTTGGACAAATTTGTGTGTATTCCTGGGCTCCTGTGCCTGCTCAGAAGAGCTCTCTAGGCAGCTGCACTCTTGTATAACCCATCAGGATTCACAGGAAAAGGGTGTGTAGAGCTCTAAGGGGGCAGGAATCAATTAGCAAGGAGTTCATCACAGCAGTTGGGGGTCACATCCATTGGAAAGTGGAAAAGGCCATCTCTTTGCTAAGCAGCCTCTTTCCTGCAAAACAGAAGACCTCCCTGCTGGGCTCTCACAACGTAATTTCTCTTAGTTTAGTCTCCAGCTGGCTTCATGATAGCTGTAAATGGCTTTGCCCTCTTTGGATGTCTGTTCCTACATCAGACATAGTCCTTGGTTTCTCTCTCCTTCATCTTTACCCAAGTGCTTTCATTAATTCTCTTCCTTGCTTCTTCTTTGGTCAATTCTGTGGGAATTTTACCAAGTTTTCTGTTGGAAGTCCCTGACCATGTGCTGTGCAGCCTACAAATCTGATTTCAGTTCTTGGAAGAATGATGTAGGAGAAACCTACTGTGTTTTGCTTCAGCCTTGTTTCTACACTGCCAGTGAGTCAACTGCTGGTTTAAAGTGTACCAACTCACAGTTCTCTAGTCATGGTTATTTCTGTGTCTTCTGGCATCCTGTCTGCAGAAAAGGGAAGTTTAAATGAAGGTGGATGCTGGCTAACATGCTAAACCTCCTCACCCCTTAGGGAAGCCAGTCACCTTCCCAGTTCTACCTTCCCAAGTTTTCTCCTTGCACTTTCCAATTTCTGTAGGTAGGCGTCTTCTTGAAGCTTTTATGCCACAAGATTACACCCCAAGCAAAGCTGCTTACATTGGGCCCTTTTTCAGTGCTGTTGTGGTCCTGTCATGCTTACAAAGGATCCAGATTGCACTCTCCTCTGTTGTTTACTGGAGGGTTGTCTTTATGAAGAGCACATTTAAAGTTAAAACAAGGGCCTTCTCTGGCCATCCACAAGATGCTTAACTTTGCATGAATAACCTATCTGAGATTACCCTTAACCTTCTCTACTGCGTGTCTTTTACTTGCACTTTCAAATTGCCATTTTAAATGCTGCCTGGACTTGCTCACCTTTCTATCAAAGCTGCAAGTGAATTCCCTTTAAATAGCAGCTGCTGCCACAGCAGCTCTGCCTGTGTGTAGTGTGATGCCATGGCCAAGATCCAGGTGTTGTAGGAGCAACTGAGCAGAGCCCCATGCAGCCCCTTGGGTATCCCCACAGCCCCCACCAGGGCTTGCCCCCTCTCTAAGGGGATGCAGCACTTTGGAGGGACAGCAGCTGGGGATGGGTGCAAGAGCAGAGCTGGATGCTCCTCGTGCGTTTCATGGAAGGTTTGCAAATGTGCCAAAGCAAGGGGAATCCTCTAAGCAAATTAACATGCAGGATACAGCACATCCATCTCCACCTTCCTGCCCACAGTTTGTGCTCGGACACCTGCCCTGTCTCAGGGGGAGGAAGGGCAGGAAGGGCCAGCTCCTAGAGAGGAGCTATCCCACTCCACCACAAATTGGGTGTGTGTATTGGAGAGGGGAAAGGAGTGGGTTTGTGTGTGTGGTGGTTGTCAGCTCTCAGCCCTGCCCTGACATCGCATTTAGCTGGTGCAGGAGTCAGATGAGGGCAGCCCAGCCTTTCCATACAGGTTGGGCAAGTAGGATTAATTTCCGCTTCTGTCCTAGCTACACAGTCAGTCCTGGCCTTGCTCCATGGCAGCAATTCTACCCAGGGCATAGAAATTCACCGGCACATGCAATCTCTTTGGGTTGCTTTTCTCTTTTGTTTTTCTTTTTTCTTTTGTACAGTTGTTAAGAATAGCCTGGATACCTTTGAGCTGAGACACTTGTTTCCTAGATTGAGGGGAGAAGCAGGATAAAAGGCTATGAAGAGACACAGGTAACTTTTCAGCAAGATTAGCAAACAAGCCTAAGTCTCAGGGTCTCTGCAAGGGCCTAGGAGCTCTTTTTACCTTAAAGGCTCATGGAAACAGACATTCAAGACCATTTAGGGCAGGCAAACAAATGAGGCTGAAGGCTTACCATCACCTTCCTTAGATCTCCCAGTCTTCCACTATAGCTGCCTTTCCTCCAGACATGCAGTGAGGGGGTGTGGGCTGGCTCGTGGGGTGCAGTGTGACATGCAGTGTGTCCGTCTGTGGCCCCCTGTGCTGATTCAGCAAAGTGGTCTTTACTGTGGCCCCATCTGGAAATCTGGGGTAAACCTGAGGACTTACCCCTACAGGGAACATCTTGCTGAGACTGTGTGCCTGTTCAGACTAGAAAAACCTGTATCAAGCCCTGCTGCTCTGTCAGCAGTATGCTCCTGCCACAGTCTCCATCCACTGGTGCCCTGGGCTTTCCCCACCACCTGTGTGCAGCAGATGCTTATGCTGTGGCTGTGCAGCAGAGGCAAAACAGTTTTCTCACCCAGCCCAGTGTATTGGAATGTGAAAATGTTCCCAGTCACTATGAAGGTCCCACATTTGCCTCTGGGATGCAACGATGCATTAGGAATATTAGTTCTGAGGAGCTGATGCACTTTGAGCTCACACCATGTCTGACTGACATAGCCTCAACTCCTTTTGTACCCTCCTCCTCCAGCAAAATCCTGGCCATGTACAGGAATTAACACTGAGGTGTGTATCAGTATTTGGTGTTTGCCCAGGAGGCTGGTGTAGCTTGCTCTACATGATGTAGCTGATGGGACCCCCTGCAAGACAGCGGTGGAGAACCAGTGAGTTATGGTTCCATTAGAGGAGGTTAATCTAGTGGGGAACAACATCTGGATTGCTGTCACAACTGAGGTGTTTTAGGGGATTTAAGCATAGATTTATTCACAGAAGCATGATCACTGTATAGGATATGCAAGGCACTTAGAGCTTTTCCACCTGTTTTAGTTAGCTCCTTAGCTCCTCAGCACACCACTTGGGACTAACTGTTTAAGGGGAATTCCCCAGAGCTGTACCGTCTTGCTCTGAGAGCTCATAATTGTGTAGAAATAACATCCAGGTGTTGAGAAAAGGAAAGTGCTTGTAGCTATTACTGTGGGTTGTCTCCCAGCTCTACTTCACTGTGCAGTTTGTAAGTTGTCCCTGATATTTAAACAGGCTTTTAATAATCTTCCAGTATCGCATTTTTCTATGCTGGGAGAGGGAAAAGTTTGAGGGCTGTGAAATACCTTGAGCCATATCTTGCCAGAGGAGCAAATCCCCAAATTCAGTGGTCAGCATTTGGTACAAGAAAAGGAAAGTGAAATCCACATGGTCATCTTCCCCTGCATCCACTTCCAGCTTAGGCACACAGGAATGAGTGGGGTCTGGGACTGTTTTTTGTTTCGTAACTAGAAACCACTTTGTCTGTTCAGCTTGATTTCATCAAATCTTACAGCCTATGAGAGGACCGCAAGCCCAGCAGAGGCAAAAAGGCCATAGGACACATAGTGGTGACAGCAGCTACTGTTCCTCATGGTGATTAAAAACCCCTGTCTCTTCTGTCCTAGTCCTGGACACTGCGGGCCAGGAGGAGTTCAGTGCAATGCGGGAGCAGTACATGAGGACCGGAGATGGTTTCCTCATAGTCTACTCGGTGACAGACAAGGCGAGCTTCGAGCACGTGGACCGGTTCCACCAGCTGATCCTCCGAGTCAAGGACAGGTGGGTGCCATAGAATCACTTCCTGACCTGCCAGGCTCCCATCCTGCAGACCATACTGTGGGGGTGCTTGCACATTTCGCCCCAACTTTTGCCCTCCAGATCTCCTGAGAGAAATCCTTATGTGGGAGTTTGTGGACCTAAATGTGAGGAATAAGAAGTGTTTTACCTCTTCTATAAGCATATAGTGCTATCGACGTGGAAAGTGTGAAAATGGGTCTGGGAGAAAGAAAGTTCTGCCAGAATGGTCTGGCAGAACCGTGTGAGAAAGGCACAACAGACACCTTTGAAGCTTGGCTCTGAAGAGGGAGGAAGGATGCTCTGTGCGTAGTACAGACACTTTGGAAACACCAGCAGGGAGTCAGCAAACATTCAGCCCTAATTGTTTTGTGTGGCCTGACAGCATCCTCCTTTTCCCTGGCTTCATCTTCTGCCAAACAAACCTTAGAAGGTCTTGCATGATTTGGTGGTGTGAACAAGTGTCTTGAAGGGGAAAAAACGCTTCTCATGCTGGAAGGAACTATTTCTTACAAGGGTTGTAGTGCAGTTAATGCATCGTGCTCTGCAGCAACCCTTTTCACGGAGTAAAACATCCCCTTGTGACTGGGGAGAAAGCCAGAGAGGTCATCTGCTCCCCTCCCATGTGCATGGGAGAGGGTACCACTGAGTTTAATCGTGGTAAGTAAATGTGTCCTGGCAGAGCGAGGGGAAGCTGCTGGTTTATCTCCAAGATAACTCCCTCTTCCCACCCCAGTCCAAGAGGCAATAGATCAATCCTCATTGGGTGGGGTGTGAATTAAGCCCTTATATGTCTGCAGCTTTGAAACACTTAGTTTTTCCGTTCATAATGGCTTTTAATTATGGAAGTCATCAAGAAAAGTCACCAGAGGGTTCGGGCCTCATTGCTGGCTTCCTTTCACAGCTCTGAATAACTTCCCCACAGGAAGGGTGGACTCGTATCATGTGAGGTTCACAGCTGACAGCTCTTCCAGTAAAGCATCCAAAGCATAGCCCACAAGAGTGAAAAGTAAAGGAAAAAACACCCTTTGATTTCATCTAAATGAAGAAAAATGTCAGTCTCTCAGTCAGCCTCTCACTGCCGGCTTACCTTGGGGCAAAGTAAATCTGTTTCTGAAAGCTGAAGAAGATGGGACAGAATTTCCTGTAACATGCCCCAATCCGATGCTGGCTTTATCTAAATTAACTTTGTGAAAATAAGATGTGGTATTCATTGTTTTGCTCTGCTCTGGACTGAAACTTTTAGCCTCCATAGGCCGTGCGAACGCCGCAGCGGTGTGTGAGAGGCAGGAAGTGAAACAGGCTGGTGAGGTTGTTTGAGTTTCCCTGCTCAGCGCCACTGAAGCGCAGATCGTGAGGAGCTTATTAATGCTTCATCCAAAACGTGAGCTCGGTCAGAAAATTGCAGCAATGGGAGCAGCATGAGTTAAAAAACTGTCCTGCCAAACCCACAGGTACCTGGGAGCAGAGAGACACCCCGGTTTTCAAGCTAGCAGGCAGTTTTGGCAACTTAAAATCCAAAAGAATTGGAAGCTGCTGTGTTAGCAGAGCTGTTCAAAGCCTGCCTCCCCTTTCTTTCCACAACTTTCATTATAGTAAAATTTCCGACTATAGCAGCTTTGTCCAACTAGCAATTGTACAGCTTACAATAGGGAACAAAGTCCCCATAGAGTTTTATGCCTGATGTAAACAAGAAAAATGAGATACTGTCCATACGTAATCCCTTTCTGATCAATGTGCTGCGAGCCAAAAAGGAATCAAATAATCCAGACAAGCAAGTATTTTGCTCTAGAATGATCAGAGTAAAGATTTGTTAGTGCTCAGGTATTAACATTAAATCACAGTCACATTATCAGAATGAATAACTCTGAGACTCAGTTAAAATGCAGAGTGCAGTACTGTATTTTTCCAGCCAGAGCAATGAGGCAACATGCCAGAGGGAAGTTGGAGCCCTTATCATCTCGATGAAAAATGACCTAGAAATGCTGTTTGAAAATCCAGAGTTACTCAGGGAAGTGTTTTATACAGAAATGAGTGTGGCCAGCTGCTCCTTACCCCAATAAAATCGGCTCTGTTACAGCAGAGAACATGAGGATCATTTAAGAGGGTTTAAAGTTAAATATAAAACAATACTGCAGTAACCTTCGGTGATCAGAAGGGACCTCCTCCCTCCCAGCAGTGGCTAAAAGGCCCTGCCCTAAACGGTTCCTTGCTCTGTGTCATGAAGCTGGAGGAGAGAGAGGCACTGCCAGCACCTCCCATGGCATGAGCTGCCTTTGTTCTGTTTATCACTGGAGCTGTGGAGATTTCTGCAGGGGGGGAGCCTTGCACAGGACATGCTATGGATAGATGGATCTCTTCTCAGGTGGTGGCTGCAGACAGTCACTTACATGTCTGGTAAAGTTAGAGAAATACTCAGTATTATTGAGAGGTTTCGGTATTTTTTTCTGGAATTAGAAACAGGAGATGGTAGGTAATAGCTTTGGAAACTTAGCAATTCTCTTTGGTTCCCTCCAGCCTCCTTTGACCTACCACTGCCAGTCTTTCAGTTTGCCTTGGGGTAACAGCTCATGGGCTCCCAGTCATTTTCTCCCCCATTTGATGCTACTCTAAGCGCCACCTTCCAGAGTCTATCTTTTCTTCCCCCACAGTGGATGACCAGGACTCCAGTTCTTCCATCATCTCTCAGTATCTTGCAATGATGAGCAGCTGCCAAGATATGCAGTTACTGAGATGCCTTAAATGTTACAAAAGAGTCCCGGTCTCCTGTCCAAGATCTGTCTCTATGTCTCAGTTAATTTCCTGGTTAATTCTGTAGATCTTTTTTCACCTACTTGGATCTTCATGCTTAGCTATTATCAGGGATTGCAAAAACGGTGACAGTAAGTTCCCGAAGTCCCTAGAAATAACAATGAATGTGTTCATGCATGCAACTTGTTAAGTAAATTTTTACAATATGAACATATGTATAGCACAGTCTGGGGTTTTTCGTTTTCTTTACACGTGTGTGGTATGTCTGTAGCTGAAAATATTAGATGATGTCAGCATCAGAAACTGAAACTTATGCTCAGCATTTTTTATTGTAGCCTGCTAATAATTGGGTGATGGGTTTGATTTTTTTTTTTCCAGAGAGTCCTTTCCAATGATTTTGGTGGCAAACAAAGTTGATCTAATGCATTTACGGAAAATTACGAGAGAACAGGGAAGAGAAATGGCAACAAAACATAATGTAAGTTTGTGGGATTATTTAATGGGTTATTGTAAGTCCTATTACAGACATTCAGAATTGAAATCTGTGCTTATTTGGAGCTGAATTAAAGCTTACAATTAAACATTTGCAATTGCATTTTTGACTACAACAAAGTAGCAGCTATGCAGTTTCCTTTCAGTAGGGCCAGTTCATCACTGAAACAAGAAACTCTGCTGTGCACTAGGCTGTAGCAAAGCTGTGGCCATCACAAAGCCACATGTACAAGGTGTCTGCAAGCAGTGAAGAACATGAAATGTTCAGAATGAGGGAAGAAAGTACACTCTCCTGGAGTGAAAAGGCAGAGTTGGGCATTATGAGATATACCCAGGTGTCTGTAGGAAGTGAGCTTGTTAAAGATAATGAAGTTACAGGGTTGTTAAGCCTGTATAAATCTGGCCTGCTATCTTAGCTCTGCATTATTCATGCTGTTAGTTTAGCCTGAGAAATTGGTCTTAGATGGGTGTAGATCACATGCTGCTCCACTAATCACCTCTAAATGCCAGCAGCCCTGAATACCCAGAGGGAGACAACAACTCCCTTAGGAGGAACAGAATGGAAAGGTTAAAGGCAAACAAGCCTGAGACCTCTTGGCAGCTTGCTGTACCTAAACGGCAAGCTGTGTGTTGTTTCTGAACAAGCCACGATGGCAGTTTGGCAGGGCAGGTTCACTCCTTCCCCTCCCCAAGGAAGCTGGCTTCTGTAGGAGCCAGGACACCTAAAGTGAAGCACAGCATGTTGCATCCATCTGTACATGCACACTTTGGAAAAGAACAGGCATGAAAATACCTTATCAGAGGCAGTTTTATAAATCTGCCAGTGTGCTGGACAAGCACTCTAGGAGGCCCCATCTGGCTGTCAGACTTTGAAGGGGAAGATCATTTTACACTGGAGGGGAATTGTAGTCATGAAATATTCATGCAGTAGTCCTAATAAAATGTGGCAAGGAAGAATTTTTGGCAAGTGCTGGTCTTTCAACAACCTTCGGCTATTTTCATGTCTGCAAGCACAGCTAAGGGGGAGAGAACATCTGACGACATGAAGTCTCCGATTATTGTTCCCCAAACCCAGAGCTCTGGGATAGCAGCTGATTTGCCTAGTGCTTATTCCAGACCTTTTGTAAGCACTCCCTGACCTTGCTGCAAGCATGAAGGTGTTGATAGTGGTGTCATGGCAACATTCTGTTTACCTGTATTTCCCTGGTCTCTTAGGGACCCAATTTCTTCAGTCTTTAGGCCTTTCATTTTGAAACTGGTTTGCTACCAACATGTAGGCTGTTACTAATGTCTTTCATGACACTCTTCTCTCCTCCAGATTCCCTATATAGAAACTAGTGCCAAGGACCCACCTCTGAACGTTGACAAGGCCTTCCATGATCTCGTGAGGGTAATAAGGTAAGCTGCAAACTCTTCACTTGGTTACTGCTCATGGATGGGATGTGCAAGAGTCCTGGCTCAGAGAGCTAATGGGGAGCAGCAGCTAGGTTTGCTTGCAGTGGGAGATTTCTGGGGTTTATTAACTTTCTTGTCCTGTATCTGCATAGGTATGTCACAAGTACTTAGTTACCCTTGCAGGACATCAGTGCCAGGCACATGAGGAACTAGCTGTGGCCATAATGAAAATATATTATTCAATGAACAGTGCAAAGCCTACTCCAATGATGAGCTGTAAAGGGACGGTGTTGAAAGCTCTGGACCAGTAATTTGGGTTTTCATACTTTTGTGCTCTGAGGGTCTCATATTGCCAGAGGTTAAAAAGGATGTGCAAAAAAATCTACAAAATTCTAATGTTGTAGGTGACTTCTAACATTTTCTGCTCACTAAATGGAAAAAATTAAGCCGCTTTGTATAAGAAACAGCATGACCTAATGGCTAAGCCACAGGTTTCCTCCTCAGACTGCAGAGGTTTGTTCCCAGTTTTGTCATGAGCTGCCTTTGCTCGTTTTGGCAAACGCCCGCTCTCCGGGCGAACCCCTGCTCTGGCTGCCAGCAGGGAGGGGCTGCCTTCCAAAATCCCGGCTCCCCTGCAGGAAAAGAGCTGCATGCACATCTCAGCATCTCTCTTGACTGATAACCTCAATTCTCTTTGAGAAGATTTGTTTTTCTGGCACCAGTTGTCTGGCAGATTTTCTGGACCTTCATTTTTCATGTTTTGGGAGGGTGCTGAGCTGAAATCATGCTCCTCCCTGCCGTGCAGTCAAAGTGCCTCGCTCGGCAGTTAAACCACAAGGCATTTATTCACAGCATATCTGTACTTGTGAATATACTAGCACAGCCTCAAGTCAGCCTCCATCAAAAGCAGATGGTACTGCCCACTCTTCCCACATGTCTCAAAAGCAGGGGGCAGAAAGTCTTTGGAGAACTGAGTTGGAAATGTCCCAAGCTCTTTCCCAACTGTTCTGTAGCTCAGCATTAGCTGGCTAGATATTACTTTTGTGTTGCAGCAAACTCTTACCACCATCTATTCTGCTCTGTGGGAAAGAAAAACATAGCCAAAATAAGATGGGAAGGCTCTGTTTGCTTTCTCTCCCTAACACAACTTCAGGCAGGCTGAAAGGAGAATTGTAATGAGGCATCACTAAATTTAAACCCTGAAAATGTACTCTATAACCTCAAAAATAGGTGGTATACCTCAGTTTCCTGAGTAGCCACCGTGAAAGTCATTGCCAACCAGGTAAAACCCCCTGTGACATCAAGGGCACCAGAGATGTTCACAAGAGCTGAAACTCGGGTTAAATCAGGAAGCAGGGAGATGTTGTGTGATCTGGCTGGTCACTGGCCACTAAGCAGCTTCACTTGGTCTTTGGACATCATAGGATAGCATCACCCATCAAGTATTGCTTTTCTGGTTTTTAAGTCAGCTTTTCCAAATAAAATGTAAATTTCAGTACTCTGATAACTGTGTCATTCCTGGAGTGCTTTGCAAATGAAAGGCCTCCTCAGAGTCCCTCTGAGTTCTCAGGGTGAGGATGCTCATTCAAGGCTGGCACTGTTTGTGCTCTTTGTATTTGGCTTGATTTATTTAGCTCCATGCAAGAAACTGTTGTCTGGAAGTAATCCAGAAAGGAGTGGGGTGATTGAGTCCACCCAATAGATCTTTTCAATTTGCTGATGCCCCTTTTATGCAGTGCATGCACAGAGACTGTCACAGCAGAAACCTTGAGTGGGCACAGTTTGTGGTTTTCTGGATCTCTGAAACAGATCCAGAACAGTATGAACATCTTGTGGTTGCTTAGTGTTAATCCACATTCACTTTAAAGAATTTTTTTAATTTCATCTTTCTAATTTTGAGCTTTAAGGTTTTAGGTTTTTCATGCCTCCAGCCTTCATATTCACTGGAAAAAAAATCTTATTAGCCAAAGCTGACTTTTTCAGATGGTTGCAAGAATCTGGAAGCTGCGGCTGTAAGAAAAACACCAGCTAAAGCCATAGTGATTTGTGCCCCAGCTATGTGTCATCCTGGTCTGGATAACTTGGTATGAACACTAGGTTTGATGCCTGCCATATTACATCACAGTCAGGCTGGGTTTGAACTATTCAGACTCTCAGGTTTGAATCTACAGAAGCTACTAGTGTTTGTTTGTTTTATCTTGCAACAAAATCTAAGTCTACAGGCTGCCTATCAGGTGTTTGAGCCACAAACAATTCTGTTGAATTTGCACCACTGGGCTGGCTGAGTGGCTGCTGCAATCAGATACAGTTACAAACAGGCATTTAGGCAACGCTGTGCCGTAGTGCAGGAAGGCTCTCAGCTGCATGTTTGTGGTGACTGTGAATTCAGACCACCAGGACATCTTTCTGGGGTCAGCTCATTCTCTGTGTTGAGGTGCTCTTCCCAGCTTCCGGGGAGACCAGAGACCCATTGGCAGCAAACTCTTTTTTTTTTCTGTATTATTTTTAGCCCCTCTCCATAACCAATTCCTCAGCAGTACAACTGACCAAGGGCAATTCCAGCTGAAAGAACGTCTTTCCAAAAAATATTCTTTCTCTGTATCTCTCTCATATCTCTCATGTTAACTACTGAGTGTTAGCAGCAGTGTGATGGGTGACGTTGCATTGCTTAGAGCATCCCTGTTTCTCATAGCAGGGAAAGAGGCAGCAGTTCTCCCAGGGCAGTTGGAGGCATATTGCCCTGGCAGGACATACATCCCTGCCATTAGCCTTAATTTTTGCTTATGGCTCTTCCTTCCTTCCTTAAGGATGCAGGCGGTTGTCAGCTGTGTGGCAAGAAAAGCCATGCAGTGGTGGAAGGGTATATGGAGATATATACACAAATACCCTTGTGCACACCAAGGTGCTGTTCTGCAGGCTACCCTTATGTCTCAACTGCTTATTTTCCTCTCTGTCTCCCAAAACAGGCAACAGATCCCAGAGAAAAGCCAGAAGAAGAAGAAAAAGACCAAATGGCGAGGGGATAGAGCCACGGGCTCCCACAAACTCCAGTGTGTGATTTTGTGACGGGACACCCTGTGAGTGCCTTGGACACCTCCCTCCTCCCCCCTTGACCCACCGCCAGCCCAGGCGAGGAGCAGCAGTGTGGTGCCAGCGCGGCCCCATCACCCCCTCGGGGTCCCTACGGCAGCTCAGACTTGGAGGAGGCGGCTCGGAGGGTCTGGACATCCCCCCGAGGGGGCTGCACCTCAGGGCCAGTGTGGGAGCCGCACGAATGGGAGGCGGAAGGGATCAGCAGGACCTCGACTGTCAAACATCCCCAGCGCCTTCCAGGGGCCTCCATGATGTTTATTTAAAAAAAAAAAAAAAAAAAGGAAGAAGAAAAAAAAAAAGAAAAAAAAAGTGTTGGTTTTATCTGCAAAACATTTCTTCTTGTGACCCATTTCTGAACAGCCATGAATAGCCCCCCTGTTTGGTACAGTCATCTGTGTATGTGTGGGGGAAGGGAAAGGGCTTTTCTTTCTCGAATTTTTTTTTGTCCTCTTCTTCTTTCTCGTTTTTTGCTCAGTGAGTGTTGGGTTGCAAAGAAACAATGGCCGGGGTTAGATTTTTTGCACTGAACTCTCTCTTGGGCGGCAGTGCCAAAACACGACTTCATATGAAAGTGCATAGATTTGGACGAAGAAAATTAATTCCAGCTGCTCTGGGTGCTCCAGACATTGTGTCAGACTCTGGAGGGCTGCCAGCTCACAGACCATAAACTCCAGCTTAGGAAAGGAGGTTTGGGCTCGGATTATATTTTTTTTTCTTACCCTTTGTCAAGAGGTTTTGTTTCTGTTTTGTAACTTGGGACATGTCAAACTTAAGGTGTTTTGTTAACCTGGAAGTATTTAAATTAAAGTAATTTACAAATGGAAGGGTATGTCATCTTTAAGGCGGGGGGGGAGAGGAAGGGAGAGAGGAAGTAAAACTTGAACTGAATTTGTTATCTGGGTGTTGAATTTCTCCCTCATAAATGCATGTAAACTGGTGCGATCTAAATCCCTGTTTATTATTCCTTAACCTTTCCCTGCAAAGCCACTCTTGGGTAGATGAATTGTTTTGCTTTTCCCAGGCTCATCTGACACACACAGGAAAAAAAATCTGCTTATGGGCTTTGGCTCAATGTTTCTTCTTTTCCCTCCTTCTCTGAGAGCTGGTGACTTGAAAAGAAGAGGTGTTTTGAAAATGATTCAAGCAGGATGCGTCTCTTCTTAAGCTTACTATACCTAAAATGTCTCCCTGAAAACAGCAAAGGCTAAGTGTGCCTTATGAAAAGGCAAGGCAAAAAACCTGCAGCCATTCAAACTGCCATCTGTGGCACCAGAAATGTGGCTGTGCACATCCTGGAGGGGCCACGTGTTCTTTCACACCTTTCCTGGCACTAAGAATGGCGGTGGCAAATTTGTCTTTAATTTAATGGAATGTCATCTGCTGGATTGAAGCCATCAGCTGCATTCACATGGTCACCAGGCCTCTTTAAAAGTAGCAACTTGCTTTTCATCAGCTTGAATCCTATTCAAATACACTTTGTGGGCATGACTTAAAATATTGGCAGAGTATGAATGCCTGAGATTTATGTGTCTGAGCACAGAAAATCCTGGTATTAGATATTGAAGATCCATTCAAGATGGTGGATCATCACAGACTTGTCTACTTGCCACCAGGTTTCATTTCTTGACCCTTTGCCTGGCCAGTTTTTAAAATCCAAGTTGGCATTTTTCAGGTGAATGAGGCTAATGGACACTTTTCCTAATTTGTCCAGTCTTGATCACAGCCAGAAGATGGTAAATGCCTGCGGCTGGCTCAGCAAGCTGCTTACTGTAATGCTGGCTCCACTGCCTCTGTCTCAGTTTGTGCGATGACAGACGCTGCAGGTGGATTAAGGAGAGGGATATTGGAAAGATGTGTCTCTCATGGACTTCTAGGTTGGATGTAGAGCATACACTTAGTAAAGCTGCAGCATGCTGTCAGTCGAGATGTGGCTCCCAACCATCGCAGCATTTCTCCCAGTGTTGGCTGAACTGTGGCGACCAAAACCACCTGGTTCAAATTCTGGTCCTTGAGACTTGCCACTGTGTTCTGGAGAAAGATCTGTCTGTAGGTATCTTATTTGTTCTGCTGTGAAAACCTCTAGTAAATCAGGAGGAGTCTGATCTTTGCAACCAACGCATTTTGCTGTAACCCCTCTAACAACTTTCCTGTCAGAATCCCTGTCTAGCCTGACTGCTGGCTTAATAGTTTTAATTATACACAACTAATGCTATGGAATCCCACATGCAAGAAGAGGGTGGCATTTTCAGGGAGCCCTTTTAATACTGCCCTAGAGCCCTTCCACTTAAAAATAACTTGATTTCTGCTGAAACCCCTCATCCTTATTATTTTTATCTAAACCCTTGGGAATACTTGCCTGAAAACAGCATGTATGTCTCTTGAGTCACATCTGCTGCGTACTCAGCCCTGCATGTGAGAAATTATCTTTTTCTGAAGCTTCTTAATTGTTTCTTCATTTTCTTTAGCAACTAACAGCTATTGCAGAATAGCAGAGGAGAGGAGGAGGGGAAAGGAGCAGATTAACAGCTGAATATGGAATAGTGGCAAACGGGGAAAGCATGCCCATTTTCTTCTATGTTCATGAGCTTGTTTATAGCAGGGAGTGTTTTCCAACAGGGATTGCATCTCTAACAATCCTAGGGAGCTGAAAATAGCAAGGTATACAAAGCCTACTGCCACCTAACTCACCCTTTCATGTTCAGGGCTGTTAGGAATTCAAGAGCACCTTCTCTGCTATGCACAGCACCTCAAGACCTGGGTGGTGAGACACTGATTGGTGGCATTTACGCTACAGAGTGCACTAACTGTGCTGGTGTGTGACTTATATTTTTCTATGGAGCATCCAGTGGATAGCAACATTTTTGCTGTAGTCAGGGTCTGGAGAAGGATCCTGTAAGGGTGCACATGGGGCACATTTCCAAGGACCTGATGGTCCAAGTGACCTAATGTCATCTTCAGCCCCTGGGTAAGTCTGCATTCCCTTTTCTCAGAGCAATGTGGTTTCTCTTTGGTTAAATAGGAATTGACAAGGTGGAGCTGGCCATAGCCTTGCCTTGTTTTCAGGATACACTTTCAAACAAAAAGATAAGAGAAGAGGGGTAAAACCTTGTAGATTTGTTGTCATTTAATAACCAAATAACATCCTTTTTCCATTTTAGACATTGAATAATACTTGTAGAACAACAATAAAAAAATATTAAGCTACATAAGTTTTGGCTTTGCAGAGGTGTCGTCACCTCCCCAGTCTGGGATCACATCACAGGTGTACCACTACCTTCAGGTAAATCATATTGCTGTTTCCTCCCTTAAGTCCTTCTGCCTATAAAGGAGCCACTGGCTTGGTTTTTTACCAGCTTTTGAGGTGCATGACCTTTATCATACAAGCAAAGTCCATCTGCTTATCTGGCTACCTTTGTCTCGTGTTTAAAGGAAAAGGGGGGTGGAAAGGAAAAGAAGGAAAAGTACCTGGTTAAAATACATAAATTTTCCTCTGGCATGATCAGAGTTTAATTATTCCTCTGCCAGCCAACTCTAAATGGCACAAAAGCCTGATAACAGCAAAACCAAACAACATCCCCACACCTTAGCAGGCCTGCAGGTGGCAGCCACCTACAAACCTGCTTTTTGGCTGTCTCAACCCAGGCCAGTGCTGTCACTGGCAAAGCTGCTCAGTGATAGCCTGGGTACATCTGAGTAAACCATGTTCAGATGATGGTAGTCAGCAGCAAAACATTGTAGATGGTGGAGAAGCAAGACTTTAACGAGGGGCTTAAATTGCTTGGTTTGGATCAGATGTTTCAATTTAACAAGAGGCCATTGCCGTATGTTGCTTGGTTCCTTAATCTGTCATGATTAATTTTGGCTGGCTCTTTTAACCTACAGCTGTACTAGAGTTTGCAAATTAGGACAGGCTGAGGGGTTTAGACATATATGATGTGTCTCGTCTCAAGAGGAAATGAGCGTTATTAGGCACAGAGAGGACAGCTTTGTAATGCTAGTTCAGACTTTTTCTTTTGGCTTGTTACCACCCTTAGGCCAAAACAGACTGCCCAGAGCCTTGTTCAGCTCCAGTGATTTCAAGGGATGGTCCTAAGTGCTACTGAAGTGCTTGGTAAAGAGGCTATCCCCTCAAAGCTCTGCTAAGAGTAGAATATAAAGAGAAATACAGAAGATAAGAGAGTTTTGAGAGACACAACTTGTGGTTTACTCCAGATGTCAGGGTTCAGATACATATTTACTAAGGAGGGAGAGGGAGGGCTTGAGAGCAGTTTGGCGTTAGAGAAATAGCCAAGCCCCTGTGACAACCTGTGTACCTTGGAATGGACAGAAGGGCTCTGTGTCTGGAAATCCACCTTCTGTGAGCTGGGGTTCAGTGGCCAATGTACTCTATCTGCTGTAGGCTGGGCAGAAAGAAGGACTTCTAGTGCATGCATTAAGGACTGCATTAGAGCTACACAGCAAATATGACAACAAAAACAAGAGGAAGGATGCTGCAGCATGGAGAGTCTTGCCATTCTTAGTCACTGCTCCCTGCATTGGAAGGTCTGCTGGGGACAGCAATCACATAGGATAAATTCTGTGTCTTGGATATATGTATTTAATGCCATCTGAGAGTATCCAGGGCATTTGCCTGGGAGTGTCAGCTGTAACTCAAGAATTATAGGAGATCGGTGCCCTTCTGAAGCAACAGCCATGAGCCAGGCCAGATTCACCTAAGCATCTGAATTGGCTCCAGACATGTGCCTTCAGGCAGCTCACAGGTGCTTTGAGAGCCCTTTCCTATTTCACAGCAGTGCTCAGAGAAAAGTCTGTGGGTATTTCCAGTGTCTGTGGATATCCTAGTTGTTCTCCTACAAAATGATGTCACTTGTGTTTTAGAGGCTCACTGATGCATCAAAAAGTCTGAAGTAGAAGTCACCAATTTCACAAAATGTATTAATTGCATCTTGCAGCCTAAGTGATCTCCTGAGTATCACTTGCACAATTAGGCTCTAAATAATTCAATATTTGGCTATCAGGGATTCCATCAATATTATGAAGGCTTTTTGCTTCCTTTTCTCTTGCATGCAGTGGGAATAAATATTTCATAGATGATCTCACAGACAGTTTCTGGGATGACATGGGACTTGCTTGCAGCAGAACAGAGTAGGGAACTAGATGACTCTCTGTGTGCTGGATCCCACGATGGAGAGACACAAGATGTTGCAGCACAGAGGTAGGCTCTGGTCTGGGGGGGTTTCCCACCATTGTGGCAAATAACTGATGCTTCCCTCCAGCTCCAAGAAGTC